AAACCCTAAAACCCTAAAACCCTAAAAACCCTAAATAAAACCCTAAACCCTAAAACCCTAACCCTAATAAAACCCTAATAAAGTTGATAACTGTTTTGGTTAATGATGAAATTTCGCTAAGTGATCTAGGTCCTATCAGCTGAGATACAGAAAATAATCATTATCTATTCTATATGAAATATATGCTGACCATGGATGTACAGTCTGTTACTATCAAGTGTTTCCCGCTTCCAGTTACAAAGGATCTCCCGCCGCTTGTGGTCAGTAATGAATCAGTCTCCCTACGGGACTTGGATCTTGCCAGGGTGATTACTTGGGCGAATTTGTCCTGAGCATGTTAGACTCTGTATTATAATATTGCCGGACAAGGCATAAAGCTCAAGACAGACGATTTTGAAGACCTACCGGAGGCTATCTATAGGAGCATTAAAATGCCGGGCTATTGGGGATACGAGAAGCTCAGAATGAAGTGTACCAACCCAGATGACCCCGACCCCGCAGAGCTTGTATTGAAATATCTCCGAGTTACCATTGGGTCAAACAAGGTTCGTCTTTATGGCCTCTGGTATAAAACAGAGTCTCATCCATCCTAAACAAATGACTAATACACCATCTGCTTAGGGTAATTCCCCCGGCATTCCCTACGTAATGGAGATCTGGCCCCCTGGACACCGGTCTGTGATTCACGACCATGGCAAAGCATGTGCGGTCATCCGCGTACTCTCGGGTACGATTAATTGTACCTGGTATGACTCGCTTGACACCGAAGGGGGACCAAGGCGGTTGGGTAATACCGCTGAGTTCAGGGAAGGCCAAGTCACTTGGCTGGGAGAGAACCATTACCAGGTCCACTCACTGGAAAACAGAACACAGCAGACTTGCATCACCTTACAGTGCTATGAGTTCGCGGAGAATGACAATATACATGACGAGAACTTTTGGTATATTGACAGAGTTAGGGGCAAAAAGAGGGCCTGGCCCCCTACCAGTGATTGTACTTTTGCAGACTTCTACAACATTATGAGGCGGGAGAGAGACGCTGACAGAAACCTTATGGATGGATAATGCTGTCATTAGGTGCAGTGTATAAATCTCAAGGACATTATGATGGGCAAGGGCTTTCTAGCACAGTCATACCTACGTCTTTAGAGCTTTTCCTTTCTGAAGACATACCTGTCAGATATGTCACGGCAAATGCAGTATGTGGCTATATAGATCCCTGAACCATAGCATTAAGCTGTACTATTTACCATATTGGTTACTGTAGGCGGCTTCTGTTAAGTGGTTCGCCTATATATTTCTTAACTATATCCAGACAGATAATTTTGTCTTGATTTGATGGTTGATAAGATACAATGCAGAAATATTACCCTTCAAACTGACCTGACTTGTGTGTTAGCTACCCCAGTCGTTGGCTTACTATGTGGATCCCATCATACTTTACTAACCAGAGAGTGGAACTGATGGCACCTATATCCAGACATAACGTGTTGATAAAAACGTGAATATGGAAGTCTAGTGTGTTTCTTTTCCTTAGTCTAATGCTGACCTTTATGAGAGCTCGTTGCTAGCTGTTGGAAATCGATAGGATAGTTGTCCCGATGGCGTCATCCTTTCATCATGGAATATTTCTCTCCTGTCATTGCTTGTATGATTTCATGGTTAATGATATATACTTAATGTAAAGCAGTCCCAAACAAAAGAAAGGAGATTGTGGAACAGATGGTGGAGCGAAGATAAAATTACAAAATCGGCAATAATTTCGGCTAGAACCGACTCGCTTATGGATGAGCCTGTGGGTCCAATTCCACCAATTGCACGAAACTGCTTCTTTGGGGCTTTTTTTTCCCCCCATAATCGACAGAGTACGAGACTGTTTTGTTAATATGGCTCTTGCTCAATGGTTGCTGGGATCCAAATGCGGCACCTCCGCTAGGCGTGTTCCGTTTGCCATAGGTTGAATGGTCGCTGGTATTGCCCAGGACTTTCGGGAAGAGATGCACGAGCATAGCACGGAATGTGGGCAGACAGGCGCACATGACGGCGATTTGGGTCTCCAGGACCGACCAATGAACGATGGGTTGGAGTTGTTCTGTACTTCTGAATTAGTAGGTATTGGTCAGGGGCGTGGACCCGGGACGAACCAGTGAGGTTGGTGTTCCAACGGTTGTACCAGAAAACGACGACACGAATGATTGCCACTGCTGTCAATCTGAGGAGGGTTAGCAGATACGGCGACAGCGAGAGAGACAATACGTACACTAGACCCATGGCGAACATGACACTGACTCCCAACTTTTTGCGAGCAGACAAGTTGAGCTTGGTCACTTCATAAACCGGCATGAGCACCATGATTATATCGACGGCGATGTTAACAAAAGCGTTGGCGAACGTGACAGCAATGAAGTCGACACATCTCCCTGTTTCGAGCCCTTCCCACTGCGTCCAGGCTAAGTGGACGGGAATGCATCGAAAGGAATCGGTAAGGACCCATGTAATCCCAATAGCAGCATTCAGGCCGATGACCGCCCATGTGGTATAACGAAACAAATTAGACTGGAAGATTCTCAACAAGAACAGACACACTGAAATCTTTGCGAGAGAAACCTGTGTCTTGTACATCACAACGAACCCCTGAAAGCACTAAAAATACAATTAGAACATAATTGTGGCAGTGATGAGTAGACACCCACCTTGAAAATCAGAGTGATATTGTCCATTGGGATAATGTCCCACATGTTTTTGCCGAAACCCAATTCAATCACTAAAGGATGGTTAGACAATCACCTGGTGTCCAACAAACCAAACTTACTCTTAACATTGACACCAAAGATGCCCACTGCAAGGGCCTATAGTCATCATGAGTAAAGGATACGTGGCACGTGTAGCGTGGTACCTACCCATGCTATAGTAATCGTAACATCGTCTGCACCCCAACCACCACCAAGACCCATGATCTTCGCGAGGATTCGGTTCAAGAAAAGGAGCGTTGAGATGACTAGCGGAACAATGGTAGCGGCCTCCACGGCGGGGCGTCCTTTATGAACAGGGATTCCGCATTGTCGGCTTTCTAATCGTTTGGTGACTGCAAGTTGTTAGATGGAAGCAGATCAAAGCCAGAAATGCGACATACGGAGCTGTTCTCTGCCTGTACACTTCGCAGTAACACACGTCGTCATGTCATCTTGAAATCCGTCATCGTTACACAGGCATGTTGTATCGGTCGTTGCGCATGAGGTCGAGTTGGCAGCTAGAACTTGCGTCTGACAGGTAACCTATTGTACGGGTCAGCCGGGGGCAGGGCGATCCAATAGCACCCGAACATACCGCGCATTGAGGTAGAGTGGAATTCGCCGCCGAGGCCCCAGCGACCAGAGACACTGAGATCCCAATCAGTATCTCACGCAGGCGCATAATGGCCAAGAGGCCCCTCCAGGTACAGAGGTCACAGGGTCCAAGAGGAGGGAGGTAAGGAAGGAGTCACCACGATACCGGCCGGAGTGGAGGGAACTGCCATCTTATATGGAGTCTAGACCACGGGTTCCCGTTGGTGAGCTTTGATGTCGTGATCCACAGGACATGAGCAATGATCCTCATTGTGATTACCCCAAACAACCTTAAGACCCGTCTTGTAAGAGCTAAGGTTGGCTAAACAAGTAGATCCTTATCTAGTATGCCAGTCCACCCGGTAGCGACTTTTTCGAGGGGCTTAGGTCTATGGCACTATTTGGTATTCGGAATACGGACCGATAGTAGCCTGCTACAGTAGCTCACTTTGGAATGTTCCAAGTACCATGATTCGCGAGTACCAGCCCGACGGGGATCTTGTCCGATTTCCCGAAACACCAGATCGGCAGTCTTGTGCAGGCGGGTTTTGAGGTGTAGGGCGACTGCCGGTCCAGGGGTTTTAAGTGGGTCCTTTTTCACCGAGAGACTCGTGTTGGTTGTTAAAAGCAATGGTCTCGTCGGGCCTCGGCATGGACGATCGTTGGAACAGAATTTGGTACCCAAGCGGGAAGCATTTTCCTTTGATATTTATAGAGTATAAGAAGGGATATTGAATAAGCTCATAGGCTGTGATTCGATTGACTTTAGCACTAGTCTCCATTCAGTTCACGTCAGAAGCGGCAGTTTCTGACATTTTTCTTGTTGGCCTCCACAGTCCAAACACCTTCAACTGCTACTTTCTTCTTTTTCTTTCGCCCCTCACTCCCTCTCAATTATTGTAGGCGTAGACAGCCCCAAGGTATATTGGCAGATTGCCCAGTATTTCCTAGATAAATGCTTCTGTGATACTACATTTGACTGGCTATCTACCAGCCTGCCAGGCAGATGTCATGCTCGCCTCGCCTAACCCTACACCGGAGATGCCGACAATACTAATCACAGGCTCGGTTGTTCATCTTGGCTTCTCCACCACTTTCCCTCTTTGTTCGCCCCACTTGAACTTTCGCTAATCCCTGATTCCCTTGGCTATTGCTGAGAGCTCGCCCGTCACGACTCCTATTCAGGACAAGGTGTGGATCATCAAAACTTACACTCTGCACGCGGCATTTAGTGCAGCCACCGAGGTCTTCTGGGTCCCTAAACATAGACTAAGGCCAACAATCCCTCTCTATTTATTCTCATCTACAAGCGCGATGCTTCGAAATAAGAAGTCTAACGAGCAGCAGTTCCGACCGATCTGCCCTCCGTAATCAGCCAAGACCCCCTGACACCGCCCATGCTAGTCCCTGACTGCCATGTGGCGCACAAACATTTGAATGGGTATGGCTTCACTGGCTCAGACAGAAGGGGGAAAGAGAAAATTGACCACGGAAAGGGATGCACGATACAGGAACAGCAGTTGCTTTCTCCTCTAAGTACATCTTCTTTTCCTGTTAGTGCTTTGGCCGCTGGGCGACAGCCTGTGATAGGCTAGCCACTGTTTTTGAATGTGCTCCGTCTCTGGACAGTGGGGTCTTAAAATATGCCAAACTGCTCTTTTCAATTCTTTGCTTAATTGGTAGATTAACGATTTCCATTACCTCATGGTTTCATTTGGCAGCCTTTATTTGTAACATGTTTGCCTGTCTTTCGGTCAGAGAACCTTGCATTCCACTACACAAAATTTACATGCTCCTGTCGGCATTTGTGTAGAATAATATACTTAACGTTCGCTAAGCTTCTGACACAATAACTCTAACCCTATCTGCAGGGTCGGTGTATTTAATAAGTCGATTCCACTCCGGGATTATGTCAACCGAATCCTTCAGAACTAATATATATCTCGCACTTGAAATCAAGTAATCCTAGTTTATGCGGAACTCGATCAGCGGCCTGTGGGCGATGTAGCCAACAATCGTCAACACTGTGTGCAGAAGTTCCTCCTCATTCAAACTACCGAGGAATCCTAATAAAACGGTTTATCGTGAACCAAGTAGCCCAGAGCTCTATCTCTTGTATAAGCATTCGGGAATATTCTGAAGCTTTTCAGATATAAAAATTGTCTTTTGACGCTTGATAATAGTAGTATGTAGGCTCTCACATCATGTTCCGATATTCTCTATCAAATCCTCGAAGCAGAAATGACGTTCTCATATCATAATGGATGATATTCTCATCATTGCAGACTTGATCCAATAGATGACATCAACCAAAGGATAAACTTCTTCCAGCAATAACTTCTCCTCGTAACAGTCCAGTAAAAAGGTGTCCCCTTTCCCGTCGACTCATCCGCAAGAAAATGTAGCCCTTTTATGCCTCCATTAAAAGGTGGCCTGTAGCTCCTGAGCCATTCCACCCGAAAGTGTCGTGTGCTCTTTCTGAATGGTATGGGGCAACTCATACATTTCATACCTCTTCAAGTACCATTGTTTCGCCCTCGAATATTCTCCATTGCTGTCCTCAAACTCGGTGGAGTCCGAAGCTCGCAGGAAGTACAAAATAGAGTAGCGATCTTCAGTTTGGACATGGCCTTGAGGCAACACGCGGTGCAATGCAGAGCGCGAACGCTTGTTCGAAAGAAAGCGCAATGTATCGCCGACGTTGACAATTGCATGACCCAGTCGGGGAACAACATACTTCCAAGTAGCATCCTCCGGGGAGAAGACCTGGAGACCCCACTGCGGCGCGTGGAGGATGGTCAAACTGCCAATATCGGTGTGCATGTTCTGGCCAATCTTGGTCGGGTCTGTCACGCTGGGAGGGTAGTGAAGAAAGTATAGGGTGCTTTTCGAGCGACAGTCCTCCCCGGTGGTGACTTTCAAGCCGGGCGTCTCCCTTCAGGCCCAGTTCATCCGAGATGCAGTCGAGTAGAAGCTTCGAGATGAAATGGCACGCAGCGGTGAACTGGTCAAACAGATCGAGGTTGTCTTGTGCGACGGAAGGAGGAGCCCATCGACCATCCAATTCGAATTTGCCGATCTGACACGGTTAGGGCGAGACCAATTACGTATAGTGGTAAGGAGGATGTTTTCTTTAGGATAACTCTTACTCACCTTTAGTGCCTCAAAGCCATCTTTGAGGGACTGGACAGCTCCAGACTGGTTTCCAATGGCTTTGAACCTGGATTGGTTTCAAGATCAGCTGATTGGACTTACTATGAAATTTATTGATAGACAAACGATGAAACAACTCACCCATGCGGTTACAGAGGTAATAAACACTAGTAGTAAAAGGAGGGAAAGCCTACATAGAGAATTTTTCAACGTGCCCGCATGGGTGGTTCCTGCCCAGGGACAGGATCTGCTACTAGTGGATGGCGTAAGATCTGGACCTGATCACTTCCCGGTCCGTTGCATTCTAGTATACCCGTGCCTTTTCGGGGTTTGGGGGACGGACTGCTGCTACTAATTCTCGGCTAAGCTTGTAAGTTACTTACGTCACTAGGATGTAAGGATAAGGATGTACCATGAGTTTCGCATAGACAGATGCAGAACGGAACTTGAAAATGAATTTGACACAACTCTGCGGGCGCGAAGGCCGGGGGGGGGGGGGGGGGGGGGGGGGGGGGGGGGGGGGGGGGGGGGGGGGGGGGGTGGTTTAGGGACATGAATGTTAAAGTTTCGACGGCCTGTGTAGCATGCTATCAATTGAGTGGAATTGTGAAAGTCTGCCACAGGGGAAAGGCAGCGGATCTCTCCGGTAGTATAGAGGATGAAGTGGGTCTACGAACTCTGATCATTACAGCTGCTGGCCAGCAGAAATACCCTCTGATTCCAGATAGATCTTTCAGCTAGGTACATCTGTTGATTAATAACCCAGTCCTTACATGTCGTTTTTATTTTCGTTGTTGTTTTACTTTTTAAATATGATCAACATCCTGCGCCTTCCTGATGATATATTTCCTTCACTTTCGCAGCTTTTGATACTAAAACGAAACCCGGGAACACCAGCCGGCCCTAAAGGTTTTGAGTGATTAAAATATTATGCTCCCATGATATATAACTGTTACTTCTCCCAGCGTAAATTAGGAAGCTCCAACGCAAATCACACCAATAGAAATATTGGCATAGAACCCACGTCTGATGGTCGGCTTCGCCTAAAACACCTGAGTAAGTGATATTACTTGGACTTATTTCCAGGAAGTGCGGCTCGTTAGGACACCAGCAATGACTGGAGCAAGGATCCCGTAACGCCATGCAGTACTCCCATTATGTTATCCAATAAGGCATATTACTGTAGTTCAACGTTCTGGGCAAACATCCTCGTCATCTTTAATCGGTTATGTATCCCCTGTCATTCAAGACTGCTCTATATACCTGTGCTAGTCAGTAGGCCTTTTGCTCTGATTCAAACTACAGTTCAATCAGAAGAGAAGGCAAGCTCACCCCAAACTAATACACCCATGTAAATCACATCAGCTGCAACAATACACTGGTACCGGAAAGGATATATACATAATAATTATAGGCAAACTGGAATACATAACTGGCAAGGCATATTTTTCCGTAACAGCTCTTGTCATTGGTGGAGCGAAAAAAGTCAATAACATCGTGAATGGCCGCCACAGCAATAGTAGGTTCCTGTGAGCTTCTTAGTTTCTGACTTTAGATTACTCGATGAATGAGCCGATGTAGCAATGCTACGGGTGCGTCATCTACAGACATTGCAGCTAGACCAATCAAATGCAGATTCTATGGACACGAGAAGCACACTGGCATAATGGAAGATTTTCTGCGTTTTTCGGAGCAGTTACCTCTGTACCTTACTATAATAAGCTTTGTATTCTGTAGAAATACATATATATACCAAGTCATTCCTCCTCTAAGACAACTGTCCATTATCCTAGGGGCATTGACGACGCATAACACACAGGATAATGACGCAGACCGAGCCCCGTACCCAAAACTTGAACGGCAGTGCCCTCCATTGTGAAGTGAGATGCCGTCTGTCGTAGCTCTCAATGCCTAGCCACCATTGCCGGGCAGTACGCGTATGGATGCTATTTGACCTTATTTAGGCACGCATTAACTTCGCCGAGGGGCGTTATCCAGTGTATGTGGTATGAAATGCAGAAAAATGCTTTTACTGTCCAGTGTGATAGAATGATAGCCTGCAAATATGTGCTTTTGCGGCCTATTACTAGTATCTGATCTTAATGTTGCTACATGAAATCAAATAACAATTAGGATACCCTCTTCAGCCATCTAACCCTAGCACATAGAAACGGCCAGTCTAGATTATATCAGGTAATATATAGTATAAATATACGTCCAGGCCTTGGTTTCCGCATACATAAATCGGCTCTGTCGAGATGATCATAGATACACATGCTGGCTGTTTTTTTTCCTTGATCCAAATTTCTTATAACCGCTATCATCTCTGCTCGTTACTATGCTATTTTCCACAGCATAGCATTCTATTCAAGGATTTCTACTGACTTATTAGCGAAGATTATACTCGCTTCCATGTAATACTATTTAATTTTAGCTGTTAGGACATTGTGTTTTTATCTTTCCTAAATACCTCATGTTTCTTCTCTAATATGTTATTATCTTGATACAAAGCTAAGTAGGTTAAGTGCATCAGGAGGCAGTAGTATTCTGCTTCGGACAGAGTCTACCAAGACTATAACTATTACTGTTTCGAAATACTGGTGCATAAACTCCCTGACAGTAACCTCTCTATAGGAATAGCCGACGACAACGTAGAGTGGCCTGCAGAATTATTATCATTTCTATTACCGATCTTGGGTTGCGATTCTCAGCACGGTATTCTGCGGTTGGGAAGGGTTGGCTGCATCCATAAACAGCCCAAGTATAGCTATAAATCCAAACCCGCTGAGCAATCGGGCGGCCAATAGCATTTCATTTAGTCGGACCCCTCTAGATCGCAGCTTCAATGATCACAGCAGGCGGTAGGCAGCTCTTCATGATCAATTACTAAAGCCCCCATCTACAGCAAGGTAGACGCAGTGGGTGCCGAGGGAGACGAGGCCAGCTTGTTTGCTTGAGCGTCAACTGGGTGAGGATTTGGTCATTCCGATAGTATGTCACAGAGTCCACGTCCGATGGTATCGAATCACGCGAAGCGAGTCCCGACACAGCTGCCGTGTATTTATCGGGAGGCTCGATCTTATCTTTCTCATGATTCGTATCTCTGTCTGCGTATGGCCTGCCAGTAATAGTAGTCCCTGGGTTCTATTCGCTGGCCTCTCTTCCTACATTACCATCTCTGCTTTGGCAGTCAAACCCCACTAAATACTACTATAGCTGTCTCCGGCACCAGTATGCATTAGACTTGGGCTTGAGACCACCCCATGAGAATACAGTCAGGCTACTCCACTCTTATTGCATAGATTATTGCACTCCAATTCCCTGCAATACAGAAATTTCTACATCATGGTAGCCACTCAGCATGTCTTTCTCCTATATGTCATGATAGAGACCACGGGCAGAATCTATCGGCAAGGGGGCAGTCTATGTCGAAGAAGGGGTATGATGTTCTTTCATACGATCCCAAATCCGTTTCCTTCTTCTCATGGTGGTGTTAACTCTACCATCGTAATGGCGCTAGGCCGGGGGACGGTCACGGTCGCTTGGGTCGGCGCAAGTAGCCCGTTATCATCAATCGCCCAGACCTGCACTTCGTTGCTCACAGAAACCGCGATGTAGAAGAATCGACCATCAGAACTAAATGTGCAACCCTTGGGCGAGATCCCATTGATAGTGGCAGTCTGAATGTGGCGTAGGCGACCGGACATTTCGTGTACGGCAAAAGCACTGACAACGTTGTGGCCGCGCACGAGTGTGTAGACATATCTTCCGGTCGGGTGGACACGGAGATCCGACAGCAAGACACCGGGACCCCCGTTTAGGTTCTCTGGAAGAACATCCACTGTCCCTAAAGATTCATAGCCACCGCCCGACTTATAATTAAATACCTCAATTATTGGTCGGTACTCATAATTGACGTAGAAAACGGGCAACGTGGGGTGGAAGGCTGAGTAACGTGGGCCACTGCCTTGCGGGACGTCCCGAATACCCTGCAGGCGTAGTGAATGTGAGGCAAAGTCAATTGTCATCGTGACGAGCTGGTCTTTCTCCATGTCACACTCGATGAGAAAGGATCCATCTGGTGATAGTGAGACAGAGTGCAGGCATGAGGGCTTGCTCTGATGGTCCGAGGCAGCGTGGACGTAAACATGGGATGGCTGATGCGAGCAACCGGTGTCATCGAGAGTGAATAGGACTGTTGTGGCATCATCGTAACGGCGCTCAATGTGATACCCTGACTGGGCATCACCGGCGATAGTGGTGATACCGGTCCGGCTCGTGAAATGGGAAACAATAACCATATCCTCGAAATTGGCGAGGGCTATGCCAGATGGTTGGGTGCCATAGCTGGGCCAGTGACCTCGCTCCGTCAAGCCGCCTGTTGATGGGTCCATTGAAAAGGCATAGATCTGGCCACCATTCGGTACTTCGTCCGTGAGGTACAGCATGCCACGTTTGTAGTCAATGGCGAAGCTGCCAACGTTCAGCCCGGGGACATACGATGCCACGAATGTGAGTGCTCCCGTGTCGTTGTCAAGTCGGAAAACATGTAAGCCCTCATGCTTTCCCGGTTGAGGCATCACGAAGCTGCCGACGTACACATAGGTTGTGGTGGTTGAAGACATAGTGTCCATTTTTCGGAAGTGCAACAGCCCCGGACAGCGTTACGCAGGTGAAATTGATTTCTGACTTACCAAATAAGATTCATCACCATCATATTATTTCTGGAAAGTTCGATCGGCACCTTACATAACGACTACTCAGCGTAGGCGAGACAAGCGAGGGATGCCTTTCCTAGTGTCGGCTACCGGAAGAGCTCGCCGCACACTCAGGCCTTTAGCGAGCCTCACCTGGCGGCACTTTCATGGAAGAAAGACACATGGGCAATAGTCTGGGTGTGCCTGCAGGCATCATATCCCGCCAGCTACGTTAAGCTACCGGGTACATCCTTCAGCGGTAATCAGGAAGTATGGGTTATAACTACCCCGCGAATTCCCCGCAATCTGGGGAACATTAGAGGGATGACCCTAGTCGCATCTCCACTTTGCCGATCCTCGCATCCAACAGCTCACTCGAACATGGAGAAGGATTCTCCTCCAAGTATTGAGAGGGATAGCAGACCTGACCAGAATGAAGCGATATTGCTAGAGCGTGCGCATGCTGCCAATGCCGCTGACCATGCCCTCACCTGGTGGAAAGCGATATTCAAGTACCGAAAAGCCGTCTTCTGGGCGTGCATCTTTTCGTTTACCCTTACCATGCAGTCTGCTGATGCGACTTCAGTGAGTTCGGTTACAGTGCGAGCAAGGCCGTACTAAGTGGATTGCTGACCCGGAACAAGACTACTTCTTTCTACGGTCAGACCCAGTTCAAAGAAAGATTTGGCACCGTGGACAATGGCGTCCTTGAGATATC